TTTCTGCAATGCGACGCACACAGCTGCCGAAGACAGCGGCCCTTTTTCGGATCCAGCATGGAACTGGGCCCAGGTTCATGTCGTGTCTTATAGGCAGCTGCAAGGGCATTCGGCGTGGTCTGGCTAGAGAGCCGAGACTCCTGCGATGGTTGCACTCAAACGTGTGGCTGGTGCATGGTGATTACTTCAAAAACACACTGGGGTTCCTGGCCGCTTAGCTCTCTGCGCGGTTTGGTGGACCTCGGCGCACGTTTCTGCATCTGAGCCCCGCCTGATGTCGGCGTAGAACAGTTTTGCACCTCTTCGTCAGCTTGCGTTCATTCTTTAAGAAGCAGCAGCCGACCTGAGGCAAGATAAGATCGATTAGGCAGACGTCAGCGTCAGAGGCAAGATCTTAGGCTGCCAATTCCACCCTGGCCGTCTGTACATCTGTCCAGCAGACGCCGTCTTCTGCGGCGTCAGCGGAAGCAGGCTCCGGCATGTCGTCTTGTCGGAGCACACCGAAAACAGCCGCAGTTGCCTCCGGTGTTCAAAGACAGTGTCGAAAGGTGCTGTACAATTAAGGAAGAAGCACGCATTAACTCTTCATACGCTTTCGCTTGCTGCAGCTGCAAAATCGCGGCAGCTCTGGAAAAAGATTTGAACGGTGGTGTCTTTCTCTTTTCGTTTGTTATCCAAGCGAGATCTCCTCGACGGCGCGGCATGTTTCTGCCGGCATCAAGCCGGTCCGGGCGGCAGTGTGCGGCGTTGACGGATCGGACGGTGGCACAAAAGCCGAATATTTTTCTTGTGCAGTCCGAGGTCGACGTGCTCCGAGCTTTCGTTTGGTGATCACGGAGCCAGCTTCTGGCCGCCAGGCCAAGAATCCAAGCAGATGCGAAATCTATGCACGGGATCGACGTAGACGCATACCGACCTGGCTGTAGCGGAAGACAGAGCAGCAGTCTTTCTGATGGCCGCGCAAAATCCAAACGCAGCAGTCGAAGTACCGCGAATACCTCTCCGGTCTTCACAGCTCTTCAGCCGGCCGGCGCACCTTGTCGGCCGACCGAGGCGCAGATTTAACGTGCCTTTTTTACCTCGGCGGTTCCAGTTTTGGAACCCCATGAGGCCTCGCTGCGACGGAGAAACCTCAAAGGTTTGCAAGCCCACCCTCCGTGGCAGTCTCCCTCCCCTCCGCCCGTGGCCTGGCCACATTCTTGCGAGTTCAGTGCAATGGTGGGGCGAACCGGATATGCTCGGCTTCTAGCAAAGCACATCCGGTTCGCGCCACATTGCGTTGCAAGCTGTGTCTTCGGCAGGACAGTTCTGCATCTTCGCTCCAGTTCCATCGCGTGGGTCGTGCAATGCTACGTCCATGGTTGTACAAGACGGCGGTTCGGTTTTTTCGGATCTTGCATGGCCTGGGGTCCAGGTTCATGTTACGTCCTGGGCAGTTGCGAGGGCACTCGGCTTATTCTGGCCAGAGAGTTGAGACTGCTGCGACGGTCGCATCCAAATCGGTACTTGGGGCATGGTGCTGACTTCACCATGTGACTGGGGTCTCCGACTGCTCAGACCGATGAGCGGTTCGGCAAACCTCGGCGCATGTTTGTGGAGCTCAGTATATCGCGACGCGACGGAGCTGAGGGCGACACCGGAGGAACCTGAAATAGGTCTGGATCTTGTCGACAACCTGCAGTTCTTTTGCTAGAACCAGAAATTGACCTTAGAGCAGATAACAGCAAGTAGGCAGACGTAAGCGACACGAGCAAGATCTTTTGTTGCCAATTCCACCGCGGCCATCTGTACATGTGCCCGGCAGGCAGCGTTTTTTGCGTCTTTTGCCTGACCAGGCTTCGGCACGTTCTCTTATCGGAGAACATCGAAAACAGCCGCAGCTGCCCCCGGTGTTCAGCGACAGTGTTGAAAGGTGCTGTACAATTTAGGAAGAAGCGTGCAGGAACTCCTCGATGTAGTGCTTGCTGCAAGAGACAGCAAACTTCAGTACTTTTCGGTTCGGTTGCTTTGTAGGAAAGGATAGCTCTCCCCGATGGTCTGTGCGGCGTTTAGCATGCGCTCGCAGCATTGGGCAAGCGCCTCACGGGAACGCTCTGCAGTGGAGCGCGCTCAGGCAAACAGGGAGGACCAAGACCGACTATAGAGGGTCTCCCATTCCTGGATTCTGTCCTCGGAGAAGCTGTCCAGAAAACATTCCTCGACAACATGGCCGTTGAGTGCGGCACGCGGACGTCGGAGGGCCGCGTGCAGCATCAAACCCAGCAGTAGAAGTACCGCGACTCGAAAAACACGCGTCTTCCGGAATAGGAGGAGACACGCAACGGAGTCAATCTTCGTCCAAGACCAGGCGCACGGCCACGTAGTGTCGTGGGTTGGCACGCGATCATCTCGTCAGACAGTATCTTGCGGCCCCTTTTTTGGGTTACCTCGGCAGTTCCATTTTTGGAACCCCACGAGGCCTCGCCGCGACGGAGAAACCTCCAAGGTTCGCAAGCCCACCCTCCGTCGCAGTCTCCCTCCCCTCCGCCCGTGGCCTGGCCACGTTCTTGCGAGTTCAGTACAATGGTGGGGCGAACCGGATATGTTCGGCTTCCAGCAAAGCACATCCGGCTCGCGCCCCATTGTGCTGCAAGCAGTGTCTTCGGCAGGACAGTTTTGCAGTCGTGCAACGCCACGCCTCCGGCTGCAGAAGACGGCGGCGGTGTTTCGGATCCTGTATGGCTTCGGTCCAGGTTCATGTTATGTCTTAGGCATTAGCAAGGGCATTCGGCTTTGTCTGGCCAGAGAGCCGAGACTCCTGCGATGTTGCATGCAAATGTCTAGCTGGTGCATGGTCACGACCGCAATAAGTCACCGGCGCGTTCGGTTGCTTTGTTTTAGGTATGGTTCGGTAGACCTCGGCGCATGTTTTTTGGAGCTCTGCGCGACATGTTGTCAGCGTATGACGGCATTGCACTTGTCTTCGAGAACTTGTGGTTCTTCTGCAAGAAGAAGTAGCTGACCTCAGAGCAGACCAGATGGAGCAGGCACACGTCAGCGACTTGAGCAAGAGCTTTGGCTGCCAATTCCACCTTGGCCGTCTGTACATCCGTCCAGCAGACGCCGCCTTTTGCGTCGTCCGCAGAAGCGGGCTCCGGCACGTCGTCTTGTCGGAGAACACCGAAAACAACCGCAGTTGCCTCCGATGTTCAAGGACGGTGTCGAAAGGTGCTGTACAATTTAGGAAGAAGCGTGCAAGAAATCGTCACTTGCATTCGTCTTCTGCTGCCCCAAAAGCGCAGGCCCTCCGGCATGCGATTTGCACGGTATTTTCTCTCCGGTGAATTTTACTGATTGTTCAAGCAAAGGTCGGCGTTTGCAGTGTGGCAGTCACGCAGGTTGAAGTATCGCAACACGTATTCTGGATTTCTAAGCTGTCTCGAAAACAATCGGAGACAGCGTGGTCGTCGGCATGTCGCACTGCGGTTTGCAGGCTGGCTCGAGGCCAAAGCGTCTCGCACAATGTGTTGACATTGTTTTCGACGAAAAAGTTACCTCGGCAGTTCCAGTCTGGGAACCCCATGAGGCCTCGCCGCGACGGAGAAACCTCCAAGGTTCGCAAGCCCACCCTCCGTCGCAGTCTCCCTCCCCTCCGCCCGTGGCCTGGCCACGTTCTTGCGAGTTCAGTGCAATGGTGGGGCGAACCGGATATGTTCGGCTTCTAGCAAAGCATATCCGGCTCGCGCCCCGTTGCGTTGCAAGCTGTGTCTTCCGCAGGACAGTTTCGCGTCGTCGTTCGAATTCCATCCCGTGGGTCGTGCAACGCCACGCCTCCGGCTGCAGAAGACGGCGGCGGTGTTTCGGATCCTGCATGGCTTCGGTCCAGGTTCATGTTATGTCCTAGGCATTTGCAAGGGCATTCGGCTTGGTCTGGCCAGAGAGCCGAGACTCCTGCGATGTTGCATGGAAATGTGTAGCTGGTGCATGATCTCGACCGCAATAAGTCACCGGCGCGTTCGGTTGCTTTGTCTTATACGTGACCTCGGGTTTTTGGAGCTCTGCGCGACATGTTCTGAGCGTCGAACAGTAATGCACTTATTCGAGAACTTGTAGTCCTTCTGCAAGAAGAAGTAGCCGACCTCAGAGTAGACCAGATCGAGCAGGCACACACCAGCGACCCGACCGAGATCTTTGGCTGCCAATTCCACCCTTGCCGTCTGTACATCCGTCGAGCAGACGCCGCCTTTTGCGTCGTCCGCAGAAGCGGGCTCCGGCACGTCGTCTTGTCGGAGAACATCGAAAACAACCGCAGTTGCCCCCGATGTTCAAGGACGGTGTCGAAAGGTGCTGTACAATTTAGGAAGAAGCGTGCAAGAAATCGTCACTTGCTGTCGCTTGCTGCAGACACGAAAGCGTCACTTGCTGTTGCTTGCTGCAGCCGCAAACCCGCAGCAGCCTTGGCACGCGGTTTGCACGGTGGTTTCTTTGCTTTTTTGGTCACTTTTTTGGTGACCTCTTTCTGATAGTCCACGCGGCGGTCGGCATGTTCCTGCCGGCCTGAAGCTGGACTGGACGGCAGTGTGGCAGTGAGGCAGGTCCAAGCATCGCTACATCTAGTTTGGATGGCTAAGCTGTGCTGAAAACATTCGGAAACAGCGTGGCCGTCGGAAGTCGCCCGCTATAGGGACCCCTTCGCGGGGGTGGGGGGGTGGGGGGTCCCCCTCAATAGGTGGGCCACCTATTACCGGGTACATGGAATGCTGGGGGGGGTCTGAGCACGTTGCTGGACACACATTTCTTCCTCCAGGCCTTTGTCCGCTCAGATGCAAACCCCCTGTCTCTAGGGGACAAAGGTGTGAGACGAGTCAGGACCGGTCCCTTTCCACAGTACAGCGGGCTTTAGACGACGGGCAACACCGTGAAAGTTTCATCTAAGCCCGAAATTTAGCTAAGCCCCAACTTTAGCAAGGCATGTGAAGCTACGGCGGACCCGCCCTGACCCAGTAGTGACCCAGTGCTGCCTACGCGACTGACAGCACGACACTCGCAGCGGTAGCAGAAGCCACGCGACTCAGGAAGCCCACAAGCAGCTTCAGAGGAGCCTTGCCTCAGTGTCCGCAGAGTGTATTCACAGTGTATTACACAACACATGCCGCATCATGCCGCTGGGGCATTAGTAATGCATTGCAAGGCTCCATTCTTTGGCAAGAGCTCCGTCAGATGCAAGTACACCTGATGCGGCTAAGCGTTTTACTATGTGTTACTTTAGGGTCGAGGTCCAGTTGAGAATGGCTTAGAGGCACCTGTTGCGAGAACTTGTAGCCCTTCACGTCTGCACACGTCTTCTCGAAGTACGATGGCGCACGACTCACCAAGGATTCCCAGGACACACGTCCCAAAGCATCCTCCAATTTGACAGAGCCATCTGAGCAAACGAAGTCCTCGCCGACCTGGAGGTAGGCGGCCCGCAGGCCACGTAGGAAAGCCATGACATTCTGAGGCATCTGTCTCTTTGCGAAGGACCTGTCGTTGAAGTGCATCTGCTTAGATGCACCTTCGGACGTGCCTGGCATGTCAATGTTCTCCTCCGCTGCAGGCTCGGTCGGCAAAGGATTCGGCGGCGGCACTTTGGGATCACTCATGTGGCGGATGGCTTCGATGGCAGCAGGAGTCGGCATCACATGCAGTCGCGTGGCGGAGGAATGGATCTTTGCACCCACCTCACCCTGAACAATGCCGTTTGGATCCAGCAACATGGGAACGGCAGCACAAGAGCCAATCCATCGCTGCTGGTCCGGATGCTCTTCCAAGGGGACCAGATGCAGCATTCGTGTGCATTCCGCAGGAAGCTCAACAGATACAGGCTTGGAGACTCTAACCCGCCCATAGGACTTGGAGTTCATCTTCCGCACCACAGACCCGCGAAATACACTGAGCACGGCTGCTAGCCGGATTTCACTGCCCAGCCGGAGGGCCAAGATCTGAGGCTGCGAACCGTCCCGGTTTGGGCGGTAAGCGTTGACAATCTGAAGCCCGGGATCCTTGTCGCTGACCTGTTTGTTCAGCCCCTTGATGTGATCGACGTACTTGGCCTGTGCTTGCGACCACGCCTGTGCCCTTGACAACCGGCATTGAGACAAGTTCATGGCTTGTCGCGCTATGGCAAGCTCGTGTTGGCGCTGGTTCCATGAGTTCATGGGGATCTCGGCCTTTTCCAAAGCTGCCAGGCTGACCAGCCCTTCCTCCAGACGCACTAAGCGACTGAACTGGCGGATCCCGCCAATCAAGCATGTGACCCTTTTCAGCATCGCCTCCAAGCCCAAGGATTTCCGAGTTCCGAGTTGGCACACCGGGACTTCTTTTTTGAGGGCTCTGTGGACGATGGCAGCAAGTGTCTTGGGGTAGTCGTCGTGCTGTGTGGCCTGGTCCTCGGCATCGAGCGGGAAAAGCTTGTCAAACTGATCCTTGTCCTGCTTCTGCGGCTCGACATCATCAATGCTCTCGATCGCGGCCCCCGGCTCATCCTTGTCGATGGCATTGAAGAACTCCAGCGCCTCCTCCATGACGACGGCTCGATCGTGCACTCGCTGGATGGTGTCGATGTCCGCCTGCTGCTGCTCGGGCTCCTTCTCCTCCTGCAAATGCTCAGTGACCTCGACATCGCCGGGGACGATGCATGCATCATCCTTGTCATCCTCCTCCTCCTCGTCCTCCGGCTGCGCAGCCGATGCAGCCATGAAGATTCGGTGCCCTTCCTTGTCCCACCATTTGCGAAGGTCCATGTAAGCCTCAAGGAAAGCAGTGTGCAATGTAGCCCTACTTATGAGGGTGACGTGAAAACATGAAAAGTGGAAGACCTGAGTAAAACGCCACGGCCTCGTCGGGAGTCAGGTCGATGCTGATCATGCAGTAGAAGGACAGGGAGGCAGCCAATGCCTTCTCGGACAGCGTTTGCAGGGTCTGCTCCGTCAGGGGGGCCCGAGCCTGATCACTGAAGCGAGTCGGCAAGTCCTCCGCGGTCAGCTTCGACAACTCTCGAATCTGTCGTGCATGCTCGCGGGATGTGCCGAGGATGCCGTCCTTTAAAGTAGGAGAGCCTTTGAACCTGGACTTCACAAGGGCGAAATGTTTTTCTATGCGTGCTTCCTGCACGCCCAATGGCTCGAGATCAGTCAGAGTGGTTGCAATGCATGCGGCCGCCATCGAGGACAGGTTTCGCAAGGTTGCCAAGGCGATGGAGTGTTTGGCCCACTCTGGCCCGTATTTTTTTTGTTGTAACAGCAATGCAAGCAGCATATGTAATGGACACAGAAGCCGTTGATTGCATGTTGAGTTTTGCTAAAAGCATGTGAAGCTGTGGAGCACGAACTCGCCAAAGCAGCCAGGAGTGCGAAGATGTGCAATCCCAGGGCGCTCCAATCACGGGGCATCCAGCATGGCGCCGCCCGTGCTGCTGATGCCTTGTCGGATTGTGGCTCGGCCAGCAAGTAAGCACTAGTAGGAATGCCCGCCCCCAGCATGGAGGACATGTCGCACCACAGGTCGCCCAACATGATTTTTTTCGTGCCGGCAGCGAACTGCAAGGTCAGCCGTTTCTGAATGTGCCATCCTCCTAGCCAGCCCAGCAAAAGGTGGCCAGCTTTCCCGTGACGAACCCATCCATACGGCCAGCACTTGAAGGACGGCACCGTCACATCACAGGCCCGAAAGAACTCGAAGGCCTGAAGTGTGTCCATCGGAACCTGCCCACACAAAGCCTTGATCAACAAACGATTACAAGGCGCAGCGTCGCACACTGCCCCCCACGGCGGTATGCCCCCGTGGGCCTCCGTGGCCGCCTGGAGGCACTTGGCGATGAGCTCCATCCTTGCCACCGCCGAGGAGATTCCATGTTCCCGGGGAAGCATGAGCATGTCCATTGCATACTTGTTCGTGTCGGTGCGCTTGAGAAGTACACTCAAGCTCAGCTTCGCCAGTCGCTCCAACGGTAGGTCGCGATTGCCTGGCTGCAAGAGCGCCCAGTTCTGGTCAGCATCTGGATGCCAGTAACCTCCTACCGTGCGGTCTGTTCGGCCGGGGCCGGCTCCTCGTAGCAGCTCGTACGACGGGCTATACACTGTTTCATCGAAGATCATCATGGGGCGCATGGAGCCGATCTTCATGTGCGACATGGACCGTACCACATTCCTCTGGAGCTGGGCCGGGTCATCGATGGCGAGGAAAGGCTGCGGCAGTGTGTCCTCGAAGGCATCGAAGCGAGGGATCTTCGCAGGGTTGACGCAGAAGGTCCTCATCAATGCATCCACCTCATCACTCTTGCCCAAGCTGAGCAAGGCCTCGCTGATCGCGTGGTACTCGGCAAACTTACCTGTCGTCTGGTACCTTTGCAAGTGCAAGCCCTCTTTGAAAGTCATCAAAAAGCTTGTGACCAGCGAGTTCACCACAGAGTCTGCCCTCAGTCGTCCACATGCCACTTTCGACGCCAGCCTGAGATCCAGGGATCTGGCTGTCCCCTGCTGGAGTGCCGAGCCCAAGGAGTTCACCAAAGCTGCATGTGCAGCAGCTTCGACGTCGTCGCCGTGGAAGCTCGGAGCCTTCACCAACCAGTTGTCCATCAAGCTGGCCATCGCCTTCCCAACCCGCCAGGCCGGGAAGTGGAACTTCCGATTGATCGCTCGGATCTGCTCCATCTTGTCTGGCTTCTTGAGGATCGCCTGCAGGTCGCAGCCTGCAAAACCAAGCTTCAAGTAGTCCCTGGCTTTCAGCTCCTCAACCAGTGCCTGGACATCACTCTCCGAACCGTGCTGCAGCTTGTGGGCCAAGGAGACCAAGTCAACTAGCCACGCCTTGTGGCACACGTACTTCCAGATGCTCTGCTTGCGTGATAGGTGCAGGCACTGCTTGCAGGCACCCAGCCTGGCTTCATACTGTTGCTCGCACTGGCGGCTGCGGAAGACAACTGCATCGTTGTCCAGAAGGAGCAGAACGTCGGCTAGTGGGTCAACTTCCTGCTCAGCGAAGTTTAGTGTCGGCTGGCCTGCTCGCACAAACATCTCGAAGGACTGGGCCACAGGCTTCAGGGGCAGTGTGCTGTCCCGAGTCGAAACACCCGGGCAGGAGGCCGGCTTCTGCTCAGGCTCTGGTGTGGCAACCTGCGCTTTGGGCTTTCCCAGAAGCCTCTCCAAACCTTTCACATGTGCAGCACACCTCTCATGGCTCTGCAACTTCTGAATACAAGTCTGCGACACGAATTTGATGTCACGGCTACATGCCAAGCAGTGGTACTTGTAGGTGTTGCGGGTGTAGCTCTCTGGAGTTTGTCGGTAGATCTTCGAGGCATTCATCTCTATGTGGGTGTGCAGGCTCCATCGCTGATCTCCCGTTCTGGGTCTTCCAGGCTTGTGGACTGCATCGTGTAGCACAAGTGGAGCCGGTGCAGCTGCATTCGCTGCCGTGGGATGCTCTTCGGCATCGGTGCCTTGCACAGCCGGACTGGGCTCCTTCATCATGCCGCGAAGGGCATCGCAGGCTGGGCACAGCAAGGGCTTGCTGTGATCCTCGACCAGGTCCAGGAACGTGGCCCAGTGACCGGGTCCCATATGCTGACTCAATGCATAGTGCTGCTTCTGGAAGACTGCATGGCTGACATCTTGCTCCTGGCACCGGGCGGCCACCGCCCGTCGGCGTTCCTCTCGAGACTTCTTGGTCTCCACTGGAGTTCTCGCCCGCTTGGCGCGGGTCGCGGGCCCGGCCGAGTCTGCTCGAGAACCTAGGTTGCGAGACACACGGGCTCGGGGTGTGCTTCTGGCAGACAAGGCAGGCGAGAGAGCATCGTCAGGAGGAAACCGGGGCCGCTTGCGAGTCGGTGTACATGGTGTGCCCGGGGATTTGCCTAGTGCATTCAATGCAATGTCCTCGTCATCTGTGTCGGCTTCTGCTTTGCATGGGATGCTACTCGGCCTGGCAGGCTGCCCCACTGAGCATCCTGTGCTGGCAGGCTGAGATGCTTCAGCATGCTTCTGCACTGAAGCTGCTGAGGTGCTAGGCTCGGAAACAGATGACTTCGCCTTCGGCTTCTTCTGCGGTGTAGCACTCTCTCCAATGGATGACATGGCCTTCTGCTTCTTACGCTGTCTTGCACTCTCTCCATGGCAACGGATGAGGAACTGGATGTTGTCCTCGCAGATAACCGCGGGGCTCACAGTCAGTGGAATCGGCTGCCTTTCGGAGAGGGCCGCCAGCACGCAGTCCGCTGACAGGATGACCCTATGGCCACACGACCAACTGTCGGCCTGTCGAGGCACGGTGGCCGTCTGCAACACCGGCTGGTGGCAGAGCCACTGCTTCTCGAGGAGATGTTGCAGGAAAGCATGTGCGAGATCGTTGCACACCATGTCTGGGAGTCCGCTATACACAATGGCGACAGGCTGATCGAATCGCCTGTCTACAGCCAGCATCCCCCAGTGGCTGGGGGAGTAAAGCACTCCGAGCACGACATTGGCAGTATTCTGCAAGGACAGCATTTCCGAGTGGGCCTCGCTGCCGCAGTTAAGGATGCAGACCTGATCCGGCCAGGACTCCGCAAAGAAAGAGACGGCTACTTGCAGCACACCTTTGATGACCTGGGCATAGTCCAACATGCCTGCAGTCAAGGGCCTTGGCACGGTGCCATGAAGAAGCTTCTGCCGAATGTCTTGGGACGTGACACTCGGACCTGCAGAGGCTGGCTCGACTTTCACTTTGTCCGGATGTTCGTGCTTCACTGGTCTCGGCTTGGCGGGGCCGGCAGGGAGCACATCTGGCTGCAGCTTGGCCCGCAAAGCATGCCCCCAGTCCTCCTGCACATAACCAGCTGCGAAGGCACGAGCGATCGCTTCCTCTGAGGCATCCAAGTTGACAGCATCCACTTGAACCTCACCCGGATGCAGGTCGGCTTCTCCGTAGCAGGCGAAGTGAGGCGCCCACTCAGGAGGGCGGGATTTCTCCAGGGCCTGTTGCAATGATCTCGGCACCCACCCTGTCATACTCGAGCGAGAAAGGGAAAGCCAGGGGCGGGTCTCACCGGCTGTGTAGTAGCTCATGATAGACAGGAACTCAATCATGGAGACCTCCGCATACATTCTGCGAATGTGCTGCGGCAAGATTCTGAAAAGTCTTTGCCGTAGATCTTCTGGCACATCCATCCTAGGTGCTTCATCCCTCAACTTAGGAAGCCCTCGCATGGGACAGTGCAGGGTGAACTGAAGAACCGAGTCGCACGACAGCATTCCTGGGCTTCGCTTCCAGCACGACATCCCACCAAACCAGCCACGGCTTCCGTGCCAGAGCCTGCTGGAGGAGGTCGGGCACCTGCCAGCCAGTGGCATCTGCAAACAAGGTTGAATGCGGTAGACTACAGGAACAATGACCTGCAGAAATAGGTGGCTGCCAGAGGGCTGGCTCTGGGGTTCCTGTAGCAGAGACAGCAGAAACCGTCGGGTCCCCCCCCTGGCATCCACTCAAAAACACTCCTGGACTGCAGACCCTGGGAGTCGGACCAGGCCTGGTCACTGGGCCCCGTAGTATACTAGTAGGAGGAATGCCTTGGAAGTAGGTACAACGTGGTGGTAGAATCCACACGGAGAAATAGGTGGCGGGCCGGGCGCCAAGTCTAGGTTTGGTGTAGCAGAGACCACACAAACCGTAGGGTCCTCCCCCTGGAATCCCCCTATATCCGGAGTCTATCCCTAGTCCTCCCGACCAGTGTCTACGTCAAGGATCGCGGTATGAATATAGGTGGCTG